TTTCTCTCACGCGGGGGGGGGGGGGGGGGGGGGGGAACATGCACAATATTTTAATTGATCAGCTGATTACTGACAACTCTCAATCCTAAGTAACTTGTCTGAGTATCTGACTGTTAAGAGGAGGTTATCAAAATGTTGGCAGGAGGCAGGTTTCAAGGAAACACATTTGAGCCATCACAGCTGACCAGCTACATAAAACGTAGATGTTACAACAGCAAGAAGCTATATATGCATCCAAGATAAGCAACAGAAGAAGTGTAAACTTGAAATGAGTCTGTTATCTAGCACTAGACAAATCAGGAGTTTACGCTAAAGAGTGACTCCTATCAACTAGTTATAGGTTCAATTTATTCTAAAGGAGCAACTCAGTACAATCTATTTTTAGAGACAGAGGAAGAGAGTCTCCTCCAGCAGAAAGCTGAGCGAGGTTAAAAACAAGAGGACAGGGCTAACCAACACCAGGTACTGGCAGGGTCACAAAGGATACTGAAACCTGTAGAAAGGGCCTGGTGAGCACTCGTTGGTAACAAGCAGGGAACCCACAAAGACACATGCCTTCCTGCAAAGTGCAGAGCTTCTTTATATAAGATTAGTACAACATATGTTCTTAGCAGTGTCATCAAAACTCAAACTATATGAAAGAGCTCTTGACTTATTAGCAGTTTTGCCTGTCCCTACCTTGCAAGAGTGAGAAGTACAAGTCAGTTGCATTCTTCATCATTTCTGGATTACAACTCAAGTCAGTGAACAGCTCCAACAGTCGTGTTCGAGATAATCTTAAATCACTGTATGGAGGGAAAAGAAAAAAAAAATTAAGAAATTCTACTCCAAAATGTTCTATTGAAAAAAAAAAGTACCCACCCACGTATACCATCACAGCCTGCTCTTTTAGCTAAGAAAGTGAAGCTCACATTCAACTTAGCTAGCTTAACACAAAGAGAGGTACTTTAGGTACTTAGCAAGAAGCTAATAAACATACAAAAATCTTCCCATCTCCTCTGGATACATAAGACTGTGCAAAATAGACCATGTTTTAAACCAAAGAATCAGATAGCAATGGGTAACCACTACTCACTTTGAATTTCTTGTTCAAATATAGACCAAAAAGAAACATCCCTTTATCCACAAAGAGGTTGGATGCAAGGAAAGGCAAAAGAAGTAACAAGCAGAAATATTCTTCAACATTAGAATGGGAAGAGCACATGAATAAATAAGAACAGATCTGGAAAATAACTGAGATCTCTTTTCATTATATCCCTACCTACAATAGTACATTCATGCCTTAATCACTTATGGAAATTACCTAAAATAATCCTTTCGCAGAAAAGCGCACAGTCATCAGAGATACAATGAAATGTTTAGTCTTTTGCCTCTGAGTTATTATAATGTGCCTTGCTATACAGTAAGAGACTTGAAAACTGGATAATTCACTCTTTGTAACGAGCTGCTCAATGTTATCAGTGCTTTATTGTCTCCCAGCCTACACATCTCTAGTATCTTCAGAGCAAAAATTTATGAGTAACCATTACTTTTCAAGATGCCCTCTAAACTGTGAGAGACAGACTGAAGTTAATCGCAAGCACTTACTTGCAAATCTTTGTTGCACCAGGAGTGGTAGCTACCCCATAAAAATTGAAGGAAACAGGAGCTGTAGCCTTCAAAGGGTTGCGATGAAACCAGTGGGTCATTTTCTTTCTGTAGTGCTGTTTATGCCAAATCTAAAGAGCAGAAGGAAATGATTAGCTCTAGTAACAGGTAAAACTGAGGTGCTGTAAGTGTCACGTTCCTCTGCCCAGTAAAATAAATTCAAAATGTAAACGGTTAGAAAAGAAATGAATTTGCAAAGTTTTACAAATAAGTACAAGGAAATAATTAAAAACTTATTTCAGTAACATATATAACATAAGCATTACAATGAGATGTTTTTACAAGCTTTTCCCAGTGCGGTATTTTCGGAGGATGAGATACCACGGGCAGAAGCCCATGGGAGGTTTGTACTGGATAAAGGGAGAAACTTTTTCAGCATGGGGACAGTCAGGCAGTGGAACAAGTAGTCCTAAGTGGCAGTGCAGTCTCCATCCACAAAGCTTTTCAAGACCCAACTGGATAAAGCCTTGAGCAACCTGGTCTAACCTCATAGCTGACCCTGCTTCGAGCAAGATCTCGGTTGGACTGGAGACCTCGTAAGGTCCCTTCCAACACGAATTATCCTATGATCTTTTTTGAACCTGTAAGTTCATCACCATGAGCACCGTGCAGCTTAGCTGGAAGACGCAGGTCTGCCAGAGCCGCAATCGCTACCCATACTCAAGGCCGCTGTCCAGTGCTTTGCGAGCGACCGCAGAGTAACCTCTCTACAAACCTCCGCAGCTGCCAACGAACCTTTCACCCCCCCGCACAGCGGCTCCCTTTAACGGGCGGCAGACCCGAGGACAACCTGCCGGCTCACCGACGGCAGCGGACAGGTGCTCACCGAGAGACCAGCGCCGGGCAGCTCTTATCACCTGAGTCCTCCTTTGCTCCCTCCAGGTGACGCACTCGGCAGTTTTACTTGGCCGACGGGGCGGGGGGACGACACGGGCCTTGTCCAGGCAGGTTTCGACTCCGGCCCGGCCCG